ACAGGCACTCAGTACAAGATCAATAGAGGCTGGGGTCTACCACACTAGGCAGGCAGACTGTGCAAGGATGCCCCTGCAATGATTTATTTATTTTTTTATAGGATGCATCTCTGTATGCATATTAGCTGTTAGGGACAGGGTGATGATAGACCCAATCATGTTGATGAGGAGGGAGAGAAGGAAGAGTTTGAGCTGCAGGAGGTGCGGCAAGAGCAGGAGGAGAAGGACAATGGAACCAGAAAAAACAGCGACAGGTACAGGGGTAGTGTGCAGGGTAGGCAATCAAATGTAGAGATAGAATTAGAGAATGGATTATTGTTAGTCATGTTTATTACTGATGTTCTTCTCATGCATATGTAGCTGTACAATCAGCAGAGGCAGAGTCCAGCACAGGGGAAGCTGAGCCAGATATAGGCCTCCTCAAAGCTGAAGATGAGGGATTTGATTTTTATGCAAACACACACATACAGCTCTATTTTATGGTACTGTATTGTAGTTTTTGATTATATTATATATATTCATAATAGGTCTAAACTAGTGGTAAATTATATAGTATAACATATAGTGAAAATGGATTAAATACAATGGATTAAACACAAGCCTACAGCTCCACAATGCTGTCTGACCCTATCTGACCTCATTTGTTAAAAATGTTCAGAAAAATAGCTTCCACCAAGAAATGTTAAGTAACAAATGAAAATGCTTAGAGAAAAGGTTTATTTGCACTATAAGAAAACATGCAATGCAATGTAGTTTTCTTTCACATAAAAACAGACATTTCCACCCTAAATTGGAGCAGAAAATGTCTCCAGAATGCAGGAAATTACGGGTTTAATGCTCAAAATATATTTCCGCATCAAAAAATTTCATCTAAATAGTGCTAAAAATCTTCTCGCCTCGTTCATCGTCACGTCTCATGACCCAAATGTATCATCGCGCCCCAAATCACTAGCCTCTCATCCACTTTACACTACATGTCACATTCACAAACATTCATACACTGATGAATGTCTTTCAGCGGTTCATCAGAAAGGTGGACTTGCATCCAATCACACAGTTCCAGTGGGAGCAATTTCAGGCATAATCTTGCCCAAGACACTTCGACACACACACAGGACTAGAGCTGGGGATCAAACCACCGCTCTATGAGCCACAGCCGCTCCTAAACACACCGGAAATATTCATTGTAATGGAGGATTTGGTAAAAATGTGTTTGGTTGTAAACCTGTATCACCTTCTGAGATTGGTATGTAAAATGTAATAAAAACCAATAGGAGTGATACATAAACTATGAAAATAAGTTTCCAAGTTTCCTGAATTCTTTGCACAATCCACATCACCACTTTTCTGTGACCTTTTTACAAGCGCAGGCTGCCTAGAGTCAACATTTATAAAGCAACCACGCACAAAATCAGCACTCAAATTTAAAATCAGGCTCATGAACCAATTTTTGTGATTCAACATAAAGTGGAAATTTTCTATACCTACTTTATTATCACAAACTGACTTGGACATTTGGAGCCATTTACTGCTCTTCCAGTTGCCCCTAATGCACTTGTTACCATTAACCTCTCTAGGGCTCTTTTAATCATCACAATTACCTCTGGGTTTAGCAAAGCTTTCAATTTCTCTCTCTTATGCACTCATTCTCACACATTCCCTTTCCCCTCCTCTGTATTAGACTACAGTGACTGTTTCCACCTTTTAAAGGCTTCAACATAAAGCTCCTTCTAGCTTGAGAAAAGTGGTTTCAAGAAAAGTGCTTCATTTTCCGTCTGCTCTGCTCGTTTCTTCTGTCAGGTACTCGTCCAGTCCAAGGCTTTGCTTCCTGCCTGGAGGAACAGAGGCTTCTCACACCTGCTCCAGTTACATACAGTCCACTTTATAAAGACCAAGACTACCAACTGACAAACTGATAGCAGTCTCCCAAAGAGCTGCAGGGGAGAAGGAAAATGTAAAGAGAGAAAGGTCTGGGAGACTAAATGTACACGTAAGCGGGGAGTGTGAGAAGTCGACTGAGGTGGAAGATGAGCTGCAGGGAGGGAAAATTGGCCTCTTGCTGACGTTGCATAATGCTCCGGGCCTTGGTCTGTGAGGAAGTGCTGCTCTCTTTTCTACAGCCGTATGGTGGTCGGCCGGAGCGAGTGGGGGATATCGCATGTCGTCCGTCTATAGAAGCAACATGAGCTCAGACAGTGGAAAGCCAGGATGTCTCATTTAGGGGAACAATTGATCCAGCAGTAAGTGTTGGAGGGAAACCAGGCAGGTCTGACCACATCAGACCTTCTGTAAAAGGTGTCATATGTCATGAGTTTTTCTGAATAATTCAGTATGTCACTGTGAACATGCTGATGCTCAAAGTAAAAACACTAGTGTCACAACATAAAAACATTTAGATTTTAACCATGTGCTATCAATTGACCCTTTGCTAAGCCATGCCTAGAATACGCAGCTGGCCAATCACAGCGCAGTATAGGACTCGCCCCAACTGAGGTCTCACACTTTCATGGCTGCGCTCCATTGTAATGTAAAAAGAGTCGTTTTCTAGCTTTTTTTTGCTGTATTTTTCCAAGATATGGTTAAACACTGTTCCTGGGGCACTTGTAATAATTACAGTCTCTACCCAGAAAGGTTGAAAGGAGAAGTACGATTTATTCTCTTTCCAAAACCTAAAATAAATCCAGAACAATGTCGGCTGTGTGTTGTTCCTAATGTAATTTTAGTTAGCTAGCCCTAGCTAACTTACTACTGAATGCAAGGTTATATAAACCTACTCCTTTTGCTTTTTAATGATTGTAATAGTGAATAATAATAAAACATTTTATTCATAGGCACCTTTCTGAACACTCAATGTCACCTCACAAAACATAAAACAGTACAGCACTATATTAATAAAATTAACTATAATTAAAGTGCATAAAATCAGGGAACATGACAACTGGAAGCAAAGATTGCTGTGACCTGATAAATAGTGATCACGTGGGATATGCCAGTTTAAAAAGATGTGTTTTCAGGCGGGATTTAAAAACGGAAAGCGAGTCAATGTTGCGGATGTGTGGTGGAAGAGAGTTCCAGAGACGAGGGGCAGAGCGGCTGAAGGCTCTGAACCCCATGGAAGAGAGACCTACCCAGCTTTACAGGAACAGTTACTACTTATTACTATTGTTGTCTTTTGTCTCGTCAGGATGATGCAGTGGTTCACTTTTACTCTGTGATCGGAAGGCATTAGCGTCTATCTTATATTTTTTTCCACGTCAGTTCGACAACCTTCAAATGTATAATGCAACTGCAAAACTGTCTGCTTCTTTCCGAGATCGCTTTTTCCAAAACATTTGACAATATTTCTCGTGTGAGTGCAATAATAGACAGCTGCAGCACCAGCATAAAAATTTGTTGGACGTAGCAACATTAACTAAGGGTCAATTGTCAATCTGCTAAATATCTGTCATTTTGCTGCATCCCTGTGTTGTTTTTCAGTGCAATAGAGTGCAAATCACAGTTTCACAGAACAGTTCAAAACCTGAAGATATTTAAGTAGCAAAGATATAAAATGCGGGTGGCGATGGCACAGAGAAGACGACGCTTGCCTTTGGTGTGAGAGACCCGGGTTCAATTCCCACTGTGACACACCCACCAAAGTGTCCCTGAGACACTTAACCACTAGTTGCTCCAGAGGCGTGCGACCTCTGATATATATTTAGCAATTTTAAGTTGCTTTGGATAAAAGCGTCAGCTAAATGAAGAAATGTAAACGTACAAAACTATGAAAGGCAGAAAATCTGAAGGTAGAACCAGCACATTGTGTCAAATATTAATTGATTAAATTTGCTATGTACAGTCTGTAAGCAGCACTTCAGATACTATATATCATTTTGTATTGACTGACCTGCTTCACATTGAAATATAGTAATATAAATGCTGCACTGATGAGCAATGGGCCAGAGCTCTGCGTTGCAGGCATTAAACTGGTACTCGCAGGCTGAGAGAACACTTGTTACATAGGACTTGCGTAACCTCTGGGCTATAAAACAGCCCTCTACACTATTAAGCTACCCCTCTGCTCTGCTTCAGGCTGCAGACTGTTCTAATGATGACAGTACCGGGAAACATCAAGACACTTTTGATGACGCCTTGGATGCATCACATTTTAGTGTGTTTACGCTGCTTTTGTTCAAACTGCCAGGGCCTGTTTTGCTTGAGAGCTGATGGGGAGCCGCCGCAAGGCACACGAGAAGCGCCGCTCACTACATCTGGAGTCTTTTTAGACACTGTTGAGCTGCTGAAAACGGTGTAGACTGTTTTTGTGCACCTACAATGACAAAGATTGGGATTTCATGGATCAGAGACAGCTGACAGTTTACAACAGCAGCGACGATCAAATGAAAATGGAGGAATCACCAGCAGGAGAGTTGAAATTTGTTACACTTAATCATAAAAAGTCACATTAGCTCTACCTGATAAGTGTCTGACAGTTGGACATAAACACTGTCTGCTGATAATAGCAGCTACTGCAGCTGGTCATTATGCTCAACCTGCCTTTTAGAAATGATCAGCACAAAATATGATTGAGGCAGCACCTTCTTCGCCATAAAAAGCAGAATATTGTGCACAGCCGTACGGGACAATATACACCAAGCATACAAAGATTAGGAGACAATCCTCCCAAAACCACAGACACAACACCGCAGAAGTGGTTTAGGGAAAATATGGCACCATATAAGTTAAAACTATGCTGATGACAAAATGTGCAACAGCATGCACACAGAAGCTTTAGGTACTTACAGATAAATGCACCAATATATTTTCCTAGCTGGGATTGCCACCACTGTAAAGCCTCCAAGAATGATCATTCCTCAAAATTGTCACAGTCAGAAACTTTGATTGCCTGTTTGGCGCAGATAAACAAATATCTAACCAAAAGAAGAGATGATTACAAGCTGAAACAACACATCCTATATGTTGTTTACTTGTCTGTTAATGGGTATTTGTGTGAATCATACCAGACTGTCCTGGTGGAGGTATTCCAGATGGGACTCTGGGCAGATACAGCAGCACCGTCAGAACACCTGCCCTGCTCCCCCAACATGGCTCCATAGCTATGGGCTTCGGCACTGCCTGCACACACACACAAAGGGTAAACAAACAAGAACACAATGAGTGCACACTGGAAAGAAAATAAGTGAAAAGACACAAATTACACTGAATTAAACAGCATGGAAAGGAGAAATGTTTTGCCAGTTTATGGACAACAGAATGATGAGATTAATGTTCCCTCTCAGACAATGCCAGAACAGACCCTGACATCACAAGCATTAGTGTGTGTTTAATGTGTGTGTGTGGGGGAAGGTGCACAATGCTATCAAGCTAACAGAGCAGCTAGCCGCTCTGGGAGGATGTAAAGATACCCAAACACCAAGAGCTCATGCCACACTATCCGGAGGCCTGCTGCCACCTCCCCCATGATCAAAGCCCTCAGCTGGGGGAAGCAGGCTGACTGGCAGCCTGTGGAGCTGCACCTAAGTGTGCACATACACAAGTTTATATATCGGCTGTCAGGTCCTTTTATTCTTTTTTTGAGACAGTCTCATAATGGCAGCTTTTCTCTTCTTTATACCCATCGATCATATCCTACCCAAAGAAGACACTGCACGAAGTAACAGTTATATGACTGTTTCACATGATTAGCCAAAACTGGTTTGTAAATAAGACTAACTGCTGTGGGTATTTCATTATCTGAACTTTGTTTTTTATAGAAACCTTGTTTCGATGTTTCTAAAAGTTTAAGTTGAAACAGGTTTGTGTTGTGCCAAGAGCAGCACATGATTATATAATACAAAGTAAGACACTGGGAGTATGAAATGACCAGATATTTGCTATCTCTAAAATAAAAATATATACCATAAATATTCACCCTGTACAGTGCCTTTGGGACTGATTGTATATATCTACTGTGTCTTAATGTCTCTGTAATGATATTTAATGGCTGTATAGTGTTTCCTTACAAAACACAAGGAAGACAGTCACTGAGTTATCGATCAGGTTTGACTCTTCTGCCACTCTGTACCACAGAGGTCATAGAGATAGACCCTGTTTATTACTGTGGTCTCTGAGGAACGCGCACACACACACACACACAGTATGTATACACAACAGCCCATAAGCCTGTCCAATCATCTGTTCTTTCCTCATCATACATTACTTTGTTTTTACACATTTTTAATGCACTTCAGATAACCATCTTGACACATTTATTCTCTGAAGGGCGCTTCTGTGTTTCAGTAGATGTCTAAATACTCAGGGCACAACAGAGATCTCTCCAATCACATTTGTAAATCAGCAATACGCTGTTTTGTAACCGTCACTGGTGAGTGCTTTGTGCACCTAATAATAGCTTGTGAATGGAGAGGAGAGAGTCAACATGGCTGCCAGCAATTTCATTCACTAAAACAGTAACATGAGAAGTTGTTTGTAAAGTCAGCATTAGATAAATAAGTACATAATCACTGAATTATCACTTGTATTATTTTCAGGTGTCCACAAATAACAGAGATCCTTGAGGGATGGATTATAAGAACAAGCGTTGGCTCGTCGCTCCATACATCTAGCTAGCCAAAGTTAGCGGCGTGACAAATAAAGTGGGTAGAACTTGTTTCACCCTTAAATTATAGAGAATTTCGTGTTGACATGACAAATCAGAACAACAGTTTACAGAAGTCACCAGGGCTAACCCAGGTCTGAATACAACATGCCCAAATATAATCTGCGGTTGTTTTGATGTATTTTCATGTGTTGCTGTCGTGCAGAGCTGACTATAAGGCATATCGCCTATCAATCCTGTCTCCTGGGAATTTTGCATATATGTTTTGAAGGCAAATCAATTGCTGACTAGTTTATGTCTTCTGTTGTTTTACTTTCTCACTAGGCTTTTTACATGATTTTCGCTGGGTTTATTTTTGTTTTTGTTTAGTGCATGTGTGAATTTTTGTTTGCCTTATTAAGAAATGTCCTAGGAATAAAGATTATACTGTAGTCCTTTACAATAAAATCATTTTTTATGAAACATTTGCTCTGATGGAGGCTTTCTGTACATTTGTCAGTTCAGTGCAAATAAAAGTATAAATAAAATGACTGATTAAGACAGTTACTTGAAAAAACAAACATTGTATTATTGTTATTGAATATGGAACACAATTTAAAATTTTTTAAAATATATTCTACAATATTAAGCGGGTTACTGTGGGGAAAAAAGACCATCTGTGCTCAATAATTGGAAATAAATGTTTACAACAACAACATGGCTGTCCAAATATTTAATTTCTAAATAAACCAAAAGCATATGAGGGTCTGAACTCAACTGTCCAACATTTTAAACCTGGATAAAATAATCAGCAGTGTGTTAATCGCCCAGCAGTAATTAGAGGGCACATCAACACGCTGCTATCTAAGTAGCTATCAACTTAACACAACACAGCACTTGGACCACCTTGGTGCGAACACAGAGAGGACACACTCACACAAACACACACACGTAAACATCCCCTCCGGTGCTAATAAGTTTAAGTGCTGGAGCGTACAGTATAATTAGAGGGTAGAGGCTCCCCTGTTTGGTTAGTGTTTTCAAAGTGTCAGGAAATGATGAATTCCCTACTAACTAAAAACACACACATGCACACACAACTGACTCTGGAAGCAGAACCTCCTATTAGCAAGCGCTCTTTGTCCTGATTGAGATAATACACCAACACAACATTGAGTCATTGTTTTGATTAGGATTAGTTTGGCAAGAGAATTAAATAGGGAAGAGAGAAATGAATAACAGGTGTTTGTTGGCACTGAAAGCATGAGCATGTTTCCTTGTTAATGTAAAACACACAATTTGACCGTGAGATGCACAAATAACAAATGCTCACTTTCTTATTTACTTCATGGTGACAACTGTCAGCGTGGTTCCCAAGCAACAGCAACTCACTTCAGTTTGTGTGTGTGTGTAGTTACAATCCATTAGTTCCTTTGATCTAAGTTACACACATACGACGTTTTCAAGACACCAGTTCCCCCCTGGAAATTACTGTTTAGTCGAGTAAAAGGTCATTAAAATTCACACTTAAGTAAACAGTGTAAATACCTGCAGAGCATTAAGTCAAGTAAAGGTCACATAACTCTGTGTCTTTAAGTATCTAATGTTAATGAGCAACAACAAACGTGGTTTGTCATTTCTCACTAAATCGAAATATATGCATCCTTCAAGACTAAACAATATGTTGAATGCTAACTTATTAAACATAAGACTCGCTTAATGCACTCAAACTTGCATTGCTTGCATCATCTTGTGGCAATAAATCTCCTCTTTAATGCATTACTACTAGGAGGGTGACAATAAATCGATACGGCAATATATTTTTCCATGATAGTGTATTGATATTCCAGCCCATCATATCGATACATAATATTAATAAAAAACAGCGCTTCAACGGTTAGCTCAATGCTAACATATAATGGGAATCTCCATTAACGTGCTATCCTGATGCTAATGTCCCATCACGACTGCGAAAATACAATCTTAACTACACACACATGCTGAACATCCTGAGTGACGTACTGTGCAAATACTTAAAGTACATGTTTCCTGAGCTCTGTGTGAAATAAAAAAAAAGCTGCTAACTTCACTTTCTTGATCTGCTACTCCACACAGACCAGCTACAGCAACCCCAAAGGGTCAAAACTCAAACCCAATATTCCCAGTGGCCTAAAAATACAGCTATCAGTAGGAAAACGCTGTGTCACTGAACAGTTATTAACATAATGTGATGTACCGATTAGACTTTAGAGGTACACAGCAATTTTATTTGCAGTAAAAATTCAGTGAATTTGTATTTTTTGTGCCTTTTTATAAACAAATGTTTTGATAATAATTTTTCAAAGTGCTCTGTAATTTTATTTACAGACTGAACAGAATTGTGCTGTTTTCTAACAGTTTGGATTTGCAGCAAATAAATAGAAAACCTTTTCACAGGCATTTTGTAATAATAGGTAGTCAGATATCGTGATGTATCACTTTAGGATTGTCTAGCGATATATCGATTATCGCAGAATTGCTGTATCGTGATATTATCGTTATCGTGAGCCATGTATCGTGTATCGTATAGTATGGTACCCTGCGATTCCCACCCCTAATTACTACAGTACCTTTCAGAACAATGGGCTCTACAGCAATTTTGGAGTAATGGCCAAAGTCAGAATTGCAGGTCAAAACTCCACAGACAACTTCAAAACACTAACAAACTATTTCTACTTGAATTGGCGAGTTTACAACACTGGTGTTCAGTTGCAGCAATTGGTCAGCTTGTCAAGAACACATGCAAACACACAGTGGTTGAAGAGCTGATGTATTTGTGTACACTTCCATTAGCAGGTCGACCCCCTCACACCTCAAACGCCGGACCATTTGATCTCTATGGTTAATAACAGGCTGCTTAACAAAATTACAAATCTAACGGCAGCAAAGTTGGTATGTGTGTTCCTGACTCTTTATGTGCTGTGTTTGTGCCGGCATAAACGTGTGCGAGTAAGCGTGCGTGCGTGCGCGCACATGTGAGTAAATGATGAAGCAGAGCCAGCATGATGTGACGACTGTAAGAGCTTTCTCTGGCTCCTTTCCCGACCTAATCACAGTAAGTAAGAGAGAGAGAGAGAGAAAGAGAGAGCAGATGTGACAATTAAGAGAGAGATAGAAATGAACACAGGAGGAAAAAAGGGGAGAGGTTAGTGAGGTTAGAAAGGAGAGTCAGGTGGGTGGAGTCCAGGTAGGCATTTAAGTCAACAGTAAAATCCTGCTGAGCTGTCTGTCTAGTATAAAAGCTTTCTCAGCTGACAGCCACTAAGTAGAGCTGAAGAGAACAGATGTTCTCTCTCTCATTTTATTTATATTTTCAATATCAAGTGCCACTTAAGGCCAGACAACAGTTTTTGCTGACTGTGTGCAATGTTGAAATTGGCTACTTGGCAATACTGAGCAATTTCACTCGTTCCTCCTATAACGAATTACTGGAAATAATCCAGAAAGGCTGTTGTTTTTAACCATGCAGCGTTTTAGTGGTTTGATGCCGTCTTTGATG